CCAGACCTGCTAAGATAAAAGCTGTCGCCAAGTGGCCAGTCCCCGACTCCCGTAAGGCCCTGCAGTGTTTCTTGGATTTTGCCAACTTCTATCGGCGATACATCAGGAATTTTGGTCAGATCGCTGCTCCGCTCACGGCATTAACCTCCACCAAGGTGTCCTTCGGTGGAACCAGGATGTTCAGGTAGCCTTTGACACATTAAAGTCCCGTTTTGTCTCTGCACCTGTTCTGTTGGTTCCAGATCCTGAGTCCCAGTTCATTGTCGAGGTTGACGCATCGGACGTTGGGGTTGGCGCAGTTCTGTCTCAGCAATCCCTCCGCGACGGGAAGGTGCACCCGTGTGCGTTCTTCTCTCGCCGTCTCAGCCCTGCAGAACGTAACTACGACATTGGCAATAGAGAACTGTTGGCGGTGAAATTTGCCTTGGGTGAGTGGCGTCACTGGTTGGAGGGGTCGGCTCAGCCCTTCTTGGTCTGGACGGATCACAAGAATCTCTAATATATCCGTTCGGCCAAGAGGCTGAGCTCGCGTCAGGCCCGCTGGGTGCTTTTCTTTGGCCGATTCAACTTCACCCTCTCGTACCGGCCAGGGTCCAAAAACGTCAAGCCCGACGCTCTCTCGTGCCTGTTCTGGGCTCCGGAGGGGGAGCTTGCGGCCGAAGCCATCCTTCCTGAAGGGGTGGTGGTCGGGGCTCTTTCTTGGAGTATCGAGCGGCGAGTAGAGGAGGCCGGTCGAGGGGTGCAAGTGCCAGGGAAGTGCCCGGCAGGCAGGTTGCCGGTGCCGGCTGTGTTACGCTGCGCCCCAAAGTCCTTCAGTGGGGTCACGCATTCAGGCTGGTCTGCCATCCAGGGATTCGGAGAACGTTGTTTGCCATCCGTCAATGCTTCTGGTGGCCCACACTGACCGCAGATGTCAGACAGTTTGTGTTGGCCTGCCCCACATGCGCCCTATGTAAGCCAGTGAATCGCCCTCCTGATGGTCTGCTTCATCCTCTTCCTGTCCCTTCCATGGTCACACATCGCCCTTGATTTTGTCTCTGGGCTTCCCCTATCGAAGGGTAACACTGTGATTCACTGTGGTGGATCGCTTTTCATTCCTCTGCCCAAATTGCCCTCCGCCCGGGAGACCGCCCAACTGATCGTGGATTGCGTCTTCCGTCTCCATGGATTGCCGGTTGACGTGGTTTCAGATAGGGGTCCTCAGTTCAC